AGGAATCAAATTACATATAGGGGGAAATCAATTTGTATCTCAGCAGATTTATTCAACCCAAACCCTCATATTTTGGGATAGCCAGAATTAATATTGTCAAATGACCATAAAACCAAAAGCACTATACATATATAATGCAATTACAATAAAAATCCCAATGACATTCCTCATAGAAATAGAAAAAGCAGTCATGAAATTCATCTGGAAAGATAAGAGACTCAGAATACATACAGCAATCTTTAGCAAGAAGAGTGAAGTAGGTGGCTTCACTATAACAATTCTTAAACTACAATGCAGAGCAATAGTAACAAAAACAGCATGGTATTGGCACCAAAATAGATTTGTAGACCAATGGTATGGAATAGAGGACACAGGGACAAACCTGCATAATTACAGTTATCTTATATTAGACAAAGGTGCCAAAAACGTATATTGGAGAAAAGATAGTGTCTTCAACAAATGGTGCTGGGAAAAATGGAAATCCACATATAACAAAATGGAATTAAACTTCTATCTCATACTATGCACAAAACTCAACTCAAAGTGAATCAAGGAGCTAGGAATTAAAACAGAGACCCTGCACCTAACAGAAGAAAAAGTAGACCCAAATCTCCATTATGTCAGATTAGTCCCCTTATTTCTGAATAAGAGTCCTAAAGCATAAGAATTAAAATCAAGAATCAATAAATGAGATGAATTAAAACTAAAAAAGTTTTTTTTTTTTTTTTTCTCAGCAAAAGAAACAATCGGTGAGGTGAATAGAGAGCCCATATTTTGGGAGCAAAATTTTACCACTCACACATATCAGATAGAGTAATAATCTGTAGGATATATAAAGAAATCAAAAAGCTAAGCACCAAAAAACAAATAACCCAATCAACAAATGGGCCAAAGAACTGTACAGACACTTCTCAGAAGATGATATACAATCAATCAACATTTATATGAAAAAATGTTCAACACCTCTAGCAATTAGAAAAATGCAAATCAAAACTACTCTAAGATTTTATCTCACTCCAGTCAGAATGGCAGCTATTAAGAATACAAACAACAATAAATGTTGGTGAGGATGTGGGGAAAAAGGCACACACTCTTGTATTGCTCGTGGGACTACAAATTGGTGCAGACAATATAGAAAGCAGTATGGGGATTCCTTGGAAAACTTGAACTGGAACCACCATTTGACCCTACTATCTCACTCCTCAATTTATACCCAAAGAACTGAAAAACAGCATAATATAGTAATGCAGCCACATCAATGTTTACAACAGAACAATTCACAATAACTAAATTGTGGACAAAACCTAGATGTCCTTCACCTTGTAAAACTTGAAATAGAATCAGAAATATATATATATATATATATATATATATATATATATATATACACACATACACACACACAATGGAAAATTACTCAACATTAAAAGAGAATAGAATCACGGCATTTGCAGGTAAGTGGATGGAGTTGGAGAATATTATGCTAAGTGAAGTAAGTTAATCCCAAAAATTCAAATGCCAAATGTTTTCTTTGATATGAGGATGCTGATCCATAATGTGGATTGGGACATACCGGGGGTGGAGGGTTGCAGTGGGGAGCATGGGAGGAATGTAGGAACTTTAGGAAGGGCAAGGGGGAGGGAAAGAAAGAGACAGGACAGAGAAGTAGAAAAGATGGTACTTATCCCAAGTACATATATAAAAACACGAATGGTGTGACTCTACTTTGTGTACAACCAGAGACATGAAAAATTGTGCTCTATATATGTACTAGGAATTGAAATGCATTCTGCTGTCATATATAACAAATTGGAATAAATTCATAAATTTAAAAAAATCTATTGAACATTTTATTTTAATCCAACAATTTATACTATTATACAATTTAATTATATAATATTAAGTATATGTAACAGGTGTTTTCCAAAAAAATATTATAGCATATTTTATATTTTGTAATATGTAATACGTATGATTATATATTTAATAGAAAAATTTAAAAAAATAAAGGTTCTAAGGCTTAAGATATCAATCTTGGCAAACTTATCTCATTTGCCTAACTATCAACAGAAACACTAGATAGCCTAATGTTCTTGTCTTTGATCTGTCTCAAGGGAAAGGCTATATGGATCCTAATGCCTTCATCAGAGAGAGTGGAGAGTTTTGGAAACTGTACATTATTCAAACTAAGAGTTAATAAAGACTGACTAGAGACGTGGTAGTAGTTAATTCACTATTTAACTATGTAAAATTGTGGTAAGGATGGATTGAACTAAATCACTTTGGGTTTTGGAACACTTTAGGTCTAGAAACTTTGATGTACTTCTTGAGAGCATTACTAATTTAGTGTGACTTATAATTTTTAACATAGGAGTAAAGGCACTTTAAATGCTACTAGCATAAATGCCTTCTGGTACCTCATATTTAATATTGTTTTTAGTAACCATGATTTCCATATTACTTCATTACTGTGCAGTATGATGTAATGACCCGGTTCCCTAAACAGTTATACTTGTGATTTATTATTTGATTTGTTAAAAAGATCTGCTGAAACTTGTCATCTTTGTTTGTACACATGTAGAAGCCCCTTTACCAGGATAGGGCTTTTCATGGCTTGGAGGAAGGACATCTGTGAAGTGTGGTGAGAGTGTAGTCAAGCCAGAAATGTACCATGATCACCATCATCTAAATGTGGTCAGGCTAAAGCAGTTGTGCAATTTTCTCAAAAGACAATCTCCATCAACTCTGAAACTTCTCAAGTAGATACATGAGTTTATCTTTCCAGCCACTTGTTAGTCAAAAAGTGGACAGTGACCAGTAGTAGTATTGTTATTACTTGTGAATTTACTAAAAAGGAAAAATATCAGAGACCATTTCATATTTGCGTTTTAACAAGATCTACATATAATTTGTGCACACATTTTGGTTTGAGAAACAGTTTTAACCAAGTCTTTCTTTTTATGTTGCATCCCTGATGGTATGACAAAATCAAACACTCACTATATTCCATCTGAAAAATGAAATGAATTTTGTAATATACAGTGCTTTTTTAGTGATTTGATCAGATATTTGCTCACTAGATCTGTATTCAAAAGGAAAAAAAAATCAGACATAGAAGTTTAAGACCTGCAAGTGCCACAAGAGTAAACAGAAATGGGATTTTTTTTTTTTTTTTGATCAACAGTGGTCCCAAAGACTATGTAAACCTATAACCATGGATGTTAAAGAGTCTCATCATAATTCAGAATCGTGTCACACTTGCTACTTTGTTTTTAGTTGTTCTTTGTTTGTAAGAATCTCCTACTGCTGGCCGCATGGTCCAAAATAATCTTGTTATAGAGATTAAACCAAATTATTCTAAGTAAAGGGGATTTTGTAATTAAATATGATTTTTTCAGGCCTTTTCCTTTCAATATCATAAAGGAGGAATATTTTATTCTTTTTGAATAAAATGAAAATAAACAAAATTCATGACTTTTGTTTAACTGCCAATTTTTATTTGTAAATATAAAAGCAGACAGTTTTTTTTTTTTTTTTGCTACTTTAAGGGAAGAAAAAAGCAGGCATATAATATAGAACCTGAAGTTGATATTCTCCTTTAACTGACTAATAAAGTATCTTTCTAATAAGGATCTGGTAACTTCTACAAATATCTATGAAATTTATATCTGCCCCTGTGGTATCAATCCCTTATTGCTTTGTTGGTGTTCTTTTAGTTTGTTATTATCATTAAAGTGTTTTTGCTTCCAGAAGCTGAGGTAAAATTGCACAACCATTAACTCTTAGATCATTTCCCATAGAGCTTTCTTCTAAGTTATTATTTTTCCTTAATAAATGCAAATTAAGTAATTATCTAGTTAAATTTCAACTAGGCATTATTCATTTGAGAAATTGTTGCTTTATCGTGCAAAGGAAGCATTTTTCCACCTTTGGCACTTTACAATAAACTCATTCTGATCTAAATTGATTGCTGTGGGATTATCTTGAAGTCATTAAAATATTGCTGTATTGACATTCACTGATGTCTTTAATTAGCAATTTCAAATTCCAGTGTTTGGCATTAAATATGAACCAATGTAATTTACTATCTCCCCATAGCTGTTTTTCAGCTTTGTTTGTGCATCTTTTGAGTATATTAAACCATTATTTGAGAAGTTTTTTTCCTATATTCAATCCATTGATGATTACAAGAATTGCAGGTTAGGCTGTTTGTCTTTGTAATGAAGATATTATTGAGATTATGGATTTCTCTGGACCTGGGTTAGATAAAGAATATATTTTAATTTTATTTTATTACTTTCAAAATATTAAAATTCTTAAAATATTGAATTTATCATAAATTTTAAACATCCATGCACACATAGAGCAATGATCTTTAGAAATTGGTCTTTAAATGTCAGATACTTCAATTCTCAGGGACAAAAACATTTTGATTTTGATTTCAAGTAAACATTGTAGAACTATTCTCAACTGTCCATGGACCTTCTGTTTTGGATAATATCACATTGATAGTGTCAAATCTAAATTCCCCCCCAAAAAAAGCTTGACAATGAAGACATTTCCAAAAATATTAAATCAAACATTTTATTTGACTAGACCAAAGACACCACTAGGCTTTTGAGATAGGAAAACTTCTCTCCCTCCACACCCTACTTATTTTGAAGAAATAGAGTAAAGTTAGAGACCACACACTTTGGATTAGAACAAGTTTTCATTTGTATTTCTATATGAAGACTCCTCCTTGATCCTCACTAAGTCACAGTGCCTAGGTAAACCAGCATCCTTGCTATCAAAAGGAAAAACAATATTAATTACAGAGGTTGTAAGAATAAATGGACAAAATAGTTCCATGAATAATATGAATAATATGATTCTGCCCAGATGGTAATAACAGGTGTGCTCTGTTACGTTCTCTGCACAATTTCCTTGAAGAATGACAAGATATTCCAAATCTCCTTCTCCTTTGACTACCAGAGATTCATAAAAAGAAGCATTTTTTTTTTAATGTGGAATGCTTCATAAATTTGGGCATCACCCTCACACAGGGGCCACATTAATCTTCTCTGTATCATTCTAATTTTAGTATATGTGCTGCCCAAGCAAGTACATTGAACATTTCTTGATGCTTTCACAGATGGGTCTTACATCAAGTCCTGAGTACATGTTTATAGGGCTTCCCAAAATAAGGGAGGTTTTTACAGGATGTGATTTGCTTACGCACAGCTATAGAACATTTAGAGTTCCATAAACCTCTTTTATTTTTAATTTTTATTTTTTTAATGAGTTAGGGTCACTGGGAACCATTTCAACTACATGAAAGGTCACACTGGCGATATGGCTTTCAGAGCTCTCCATCAGTCAGCTGCGTGTTTCACTAGGGTCCTCTCTTTCCTCATTGTATTCCTTCCACTTGGAACTTCCTTCTGGAAGATATCTTCACAGCTGTCCCCTTGCCATTGTTGATGGCATTGTTTTCCTGACAGCACCAGCTCAAGGAAAACCTCTCCTCAGTCCCTCTTCATCGTGTCACTTTATGTCAGTCTTCTTGGCATTCAAGAAGAAATGGGGGCTGGGGATGTGGCTTAAGCGGTAGCGCGCTTGCCTGGCCTGCGTGTGGAGCTGGGTTAGATCCTCAGCACCACATACAAATAAAAAAAGATGTTGTGTCTGCCAAAAAATAAATATTAAAAAATTCTCTCTCTCGGAAAAAAAAAAAGAAGAAGAAATGGCCTTATTTAGGAATTGATGAGTAATTTCTGTCTCCTTTTAAAGTTTAGAAATTCATTTAGGTGAACACTCCAATTTTCTTTTTCACTCTTGTAATCTTCATTGTACAGAATAATGCTTACATCATATGTGTTAAGTCATATATGTTAACTGGTGAGCAGGTGAGGGTTCCCGTCTTTAGTCTTCTTAATTCCTTATATTCTGTCTGGCACCTGAATAGGCAATTGATTATGATTTATTTGAGTCTGATGATAAAATATACCTTACCAAACTGTTGTTATTGCAGGTACCTCAATATACAAAAAGCCTAGATCTAATACGTGAATCATAACAGATACCATCCATTTTAAATGCTAAAAAAAAAAATGAGTGCATATTTTAAAGTAATTTTATTCCATGAGTAAGAATGTTTTGAAAGTTTTTTTAAAAAAATCCACTAGATGACTTAGAAAGTCAGTTTCAGTGTACTTGTGATAATGCTTCTTTGACCAAATGTTGTTCAGGCTATTGACCCATCTCCTGTACCTATCTGTACACTTATTTTGTAAAATCCTGTTTAAATATAAACTGGTTAATCAGTTTGGCAGTGACCTCCCATCCTGATCACTCTTGATATTGAATTACCCATTCTAAGCCGGGCACAGTAGCACATGCCTCTAATGTCAGCATCTTGAGAGACCGAGGCCGTCTTCCTGCCTTGGTCATATCAGAGAGAGCCTCAGCAACTTAATGAGGCCCTGTCTTGAAATAAAAAATAAAAGGGTTAGGGATGTGACTCATTACCCTGTCATTTCTTCATAAAGAATTCTTATACTTTTTTTTTCTTCCCCTCGCAGAATCATCTTTACTCCTGATGTTGTTTTTTAGTAAGTTTTTTTTTTTTTTTTTAATCTATTTGCCTCCACTTTGTTCATTGGCTATAAAGTCCTAGCTGCTCATTGTGTATTTGGAGTTGAGCCCCCTCTCTTTTTTCCTTTGCAAAATCCCACACCATGGTCTCTATACCTGCAAAGATGGTCCTGGTTAAATCTGCTTTATAGTACTTTAAGAAGTAATGTTGAATATTTTTTCTTTAACACATGATAAAGCATTGATATTCATATTTAATTTTTATGCCTATAACTTTGGATATTATGTGGATTGATACTTTTGAAAAGGAACTCCTACAGCTATTTTAGTCCTCCTGTCCCATTATACTTCATCTTCTTACTGCTTAGTTTTGAGCTCAAAATGTGATACAGGCTCCTCCTGTATGAATATTAGAGAATCCAATAATTATGGTTTAATAAAATAAAACTCAAGTGTGAGATTCATCAAGTAGAGAAATGTAGTTCAATTTAATAACACCAAATGGTCTCATAATCATTTCCCCCATAAAGGATCAAAAATGTCTTAACCAGGCTCATGCAGGTAGTTAAAAATATGCTCAGCACGATCACATGACAGCATAGAAATATCATCTAAATGAAATTTCATTGCTCTTTTTGTATATAGTAAAATTAGATAGGCAATTTGACATTTAGTATTAAATTCCTCCATGGTTGGACATAGAAACTTTGAAATAGAGGGCTAAAAGTATATTTAGGTCACTTGAATAAAACTGGCAGTATATAATTTTGTGGTAAATAGTCTTTAATTCTAGTGTTAGAGAATCTTCTGATAAAAAGTTAATATTCCATAAAATTTCACTAATGCATATATATATTACAATTTAGGCCAGTTGTGAGCATGCACACATTTCAAGAAATGAAAATTCAAATGTGGTTACTCTAGTTGTAGTCCTTAGTAGGAGTGAAATTGATTTTCCATTAACCTTATTAGTGCCAAAGGTGCACAATCAGAACATAGAAATGAAACCTATCCTAAAGCTTCAGCAGAAAATATACTTCTAATTGAATTTGAAATTAGATGGTGTAATAAAAGGAAAAAGAAAATCACTAGAGTTACAACAAATTAACTGATTTTCTAGTTCCAGTTTGCTCACATATGAAGTTAGACTTTTAGAGTGTGAGGGTAATTCATTGAAACTCATTTTCTCACTCATAGACTGGTAAGAGTACTACTTTCTCCTAAGCAGTATTATAAAGATCAATGTTCATATGATTATAGATAAATATGCTAACTGTTATTCAATGTGCAATTTTCAATAATTTACTCTAGATATTATCCATTGAAAATGGCATCAGAGCTAAATAAAAGACTGGAAAGAAAATTAATACACATATTGCTTGCATATACCACAATTTTGTAAGTATAAAATAAACCAAAATATTAGGAATAGTGAGTAAATAAATGAATTAGTCAAGGTTAATAGATGCAAAGTTAATATACAGAAATCATTTCATGCATATTGTAGTAGTATTCACCAATAATATGTGTATGAATTTACATGTAATTTAGAAAGAGAAACCAATAAAATACAATGAAAGATGTACAAAAATCATAAAGTAAAATATTGAATATATTCTTTAAAATTCTATAAAATTATGTATGAAATTATAATTGGTTATAGCTGCCATTTTAGTGTTTTAAATTAACTTCAAATATAATTAAAAATCAGTGGAAGGGGGGCTGGGGTTGTAGCTCAGCAGTATAGCGCTTGCCTAGCACATGTGAAGCACTGAGTTCGATCTTCAACATCACAGATAAATAAATCAAAGTATTGTGTCCATCTACAACTAAAAAAAAATTGTTGTAAAAATCAACGGAGGGCTCAGGTTTTGGCTCAGCAGTAGAGCGCTTGCTTAACACTGTGAGTATTGGGTTCGATCCTCATCAGCACATACAAATAAATAAAATAAAAGGTGTTGTGTCCACCTACAACCAAAAAAAATTAAACAAAATCAATAGAATTTCTCTAAAAGTGCAAGCTTTATTGTTGGGCAGTTGTCAAGACAATTCTAAACATCATAATGAAATATTAAATACCAAGAAAATCCATGACAATTTTGAAAAACAGAGGTTGAGGACTTTCACAGTCAGCATTCAGATGCAAAGTCCATAATTAATATGGCAGGGATGTATTGATAAAATTATATATATATATATATATATATACACACACACACATACATAGTTGTGTGTATGTGTGTGTGTGTTTAATGGAAGAGACTACAGACTCTACAAGCCTGACAACCCTGAATTGTCTCCTGTAATCAACTACTGTAGAATAATAAAAATGAACCAGGTATTCCCACAAGATAGTATTGTGAAGCTTCTGCAGAAATTTTATATGTGTAAAGCATAAGAATTTGTCTAGTTTGTTATTCATGAAATAATTATAGGGCTAACATAAAGTATTGAATTTATCAAATAAAATTTTATAAATTAAGGTTATTATTTGATAATATTCATAGTTTTGTTGCAATATAAGTATAAATAATTATAATAAGTCGGATTTTCTTAGATCTTTCCTTTCCACATGGGGCATATATTCATTGTTTCAGAGTAGGTGATATCACTAATGGGGTGCACAAATTACCTTACAGAAAGAGAAACAACTAATTTATGAGGCATTTTTAATCATACTCCCAATAATTGTATAGTTTACATGACATTTGGCAAGCACATATACCTCATAAATCTACAGATTAAAGATCCGCTTCCAATCTGTAACCATAAAACAGAGGAGTGATGGTGCACACATTTCCTAGATAAAGACTCACTTCTCAGAAATTAGCAGAACTCCTCAAATCAACAGATCCATTATCCAATGCTTACATAAAGATTTCCTTCCTTCTTTCCTTTTCCAGGAACAAACATTACTTTTTGTGAGAAGAGGTTACCTGCCAGTTGCCTTGGAATCTTCATACACATATTTGTACATATATACATACCTATATGAATTATGTACACTTTTATATATATACAGAAGTTAAATAATCATTGTGATGAGTTTTGTGGGAAAGAATTGTGTACTGAATGTTGGCATATGAAGGAGAAATTCTTAATACTATTACATACTATTACATTTTTACCTGTGGCTTTTGTCCTATTTTGTATTCATTAATATTTTAAAAATTATTTAATATTTGCATTTTAAAAATCCCCTTTAAATGACATCAAAACAAACATAACAAAAAATATTTGAACAGTTAAATTTATAATAATAATAAATGTATTATGTATTGTGACAACCATTGAGATGCACATCTCCCTTTAGGTAATCATCTGCTCAGCTGTAAGGAATGCTAGTGGGCTGAATACAGCTGCACCTTCTATCAGCAAGTCAACGTTCCAGGACAACTTTCAGCTATTAATTTTCAAGGGAAAGGATTTCAGTGCCTGGCTATTTTATCTTTCACAATAAAATGAGAATATTCCCAACTCCCATATGCTTTCTTAAATCTTTTTATAACAAATTATACTGAATTCATCATA